AATCTTTAGAATTTAATGAATTATTATTCTTGCTTGTTAAGGAATTAATTGTTACTCCTGTAAATGAGATTTAATTGATAAATTAGAAATTATTTGAATTGAAGGAATTTAATTAATATATTGAGAATTGTTACATTTGAAGGAATTTGATTATTTCCGCTGATTAAATAAATTATTATAAATTTTGTAATTTATGCTGATTTAAATATCCTAGTTTTATTTCAGTTATTATTGACCCATAGTGAGTGTCAAAGTCGGTCATCTCGTCTCTACCACTTCGAGATTAGGCTTGATACTTACTGGGTACATGTTGTTTACGTACTCATACTACACTTGCTGCACTGTTTTGTGCAGGACCTGAGACATGTACTAGTGGAATACCTATCATCACATACCCACGTCATCCCGAGGCATAGTAGTAAGCTGCCGTTCTGCAGCTACCAGTGTCTCTTCTTATATTTATATTCTGTCTATTTCATTTCAGACAGTATTTGGAGTTTTGTATAATCTACTAGATGCTCATGCACTTGTGACACCGGGTCTTGGCACACACATTGGTAGAAGTTGGTATTTTATTATTTTCTTGGAATAAAAGTTTAATCAATGTACGATTGACTTATTAGTTGGCTTGCCTAACTGTAGTGTTGGGCGCCATCACGACCTATAGGTGAAATTGGGTCGTGACACAGAAGAAGAAATTCGTGGTCATTTCTTATTTATGGTTTTTAGATTTTTCATGCATTTGTTTCTATATTTATTTTCTTTTATCTTATTTTTTATGTCTTTCTTTCTTTTGTTACAAAAAATTAATTTATTTCATAATAAAAGGATGAGTTTTAATAGAAATTGTCTATATAAAAACTTTATTTATATTTTAGTCTTTGGTTAAAATTCTGTCATATTTTTCTTTTGACTTTACCTTATCAACCTAAACATGTGCTCACTCAACCACTTAAATTAAAAAAATTGAGGATGTGTAATTTATATATAATTCATATATAACGGGTGTATAATCGTGTGTTGTCGGTATATCATTTATGTATATTAACTATAAAAAGTAAACAATAAATCTGGTCGGATATGTATGTAATAATCCATAAGATTCGATTTCTTGATTTTATCCATGATATGACTTCTATTGTAATTATTTTAAAAACTCTCTACTTAAAAATATCTTATCTTTTATTTTAAAAATTATATTATAAGTTAAAAAATAATCCCATTTCGAAATAATTTGTTTACATTTTAAAAATAACTATTTCATGTCATACGAATTTTTTTTTAAATATACTTTTTTTACACTTGAAAATCGCTATAGAAACTATCAATTAGAAACTAATATCTCTCTTGTTGAATTAGAGGGGAAAAAAAATCTTTCGTGTAATCTAATGAGTCAAAACTAATATTCTTCAATGAAAAAAATACTATACCCTTGCAATGTTGATTTGATTGCAGCTAAATGAAGAGGTTTCGGGCTTATACCTTTCAATTCCTAGAAGGTGTTAATAGAAATTAATGATAGCAATTGTATATCCAAAGTTTTGTTATTTATTTGATGTCCATTTATACAAATTAACTCTTCAAACAAACATTTTTCAAAAAGAAAAAAAATAACTTGTAATTTCAAAAATATTAAATGTTGTACTCGTAATTTTATTTGCGTAATGGGTGCAAGAGTAATTTTAAACCCATCAAATTTAGATCCCTACATACATCTCCATTCCAACCTATGCTTTTATTGTACTCAGTTGCTGCACTTTCCGCTTTTGTGCAATAAAGAGCCCGTTTGGACATAAGAATTATTTTTTAAAATTTTTTTACTTTTTTTCGAAATCAGTGTTCGGCCATAAAATTTTCAATTTTCATTTGAAGATGAATTTTAAAAAACTTCAAAAAAATTATTTTTCAAAATTTTCACTTAGATCACTCACAAAACTTCAGAAACAACCTAAAATTATATTCATCTCCAAACACAACTCTAATTTTCAGATATCATTTTCACTTGAAAAAAAAATTCACTTTTTTTTTGGAATTTTTCAATTCTTATGTCCAAACGCCCACGAAATCTAGTTATTCCAATTGACTAGAAAGGTAATAGGGATTTTTACCTTCCTATACACTATTTGAAACTTTATTACCCTCCCTACTCAAATTTTAATTTAATTACATGGTCATATATAATTTACCAATTATATACAAATAAGTTTTAAATGAGTATCCCTTTATATTAGGAATTGAATAAGTAATATTAGTTATTTTCTTATCCCTTTATAATTGCCCACTCTCTCTCTCTCTCCGTCTCTCTCTCTCTCTCTCTCTCTCTCTCTCTCTCTCTCTCTCTCTCTTCGTCTCTCTCTTTGTCTCTGTCTCTCCCTATCTTGAAAAGCCTGAAGATTCACTTCGCTTTAGTTGGTCATATGTCTCTCTCTCTCTCTCTTGCAAAGCCTGAAGACTCATAAGGAAAATCAGTTTATGATTTGAAAAGACGAATGCTCAAGGAAGTTAAAATTGCAAAGCCTGAAGATTCACTTCGCTTTAGTTGGGTTATAACATATGCGGAGACTTTAATCTCTCCTAATTCTCTGTAGGATTATAAATTTTGAAGGTGTTTGGCTCTCCACCATTGACAGCCATTAAAAAGCTTTGAAACTTTGAACCTTTGAAATCGAATTTGGGTTTTTAAAAACCATTATTTGTTTGGATTGGGTGTTGTTGCAAACAATTGAAAATATTGTTTGGAGTTANTATATATATTTTATTTTATTTTTATTTTTTTTGAATGTTGTATGAATCGTTGTATAAAATTTGTATTTAAGTTATCAATACTATCTTTTTACATAAAGTTGTTGATATATATCAAAATTGTATTAAGAGAAAAAGTTTTGATTGGAATTTTAGAGAGGAAGAAGCACACACCACAGACAAAATATATACAAATCAGATACAAAATATATACAAAAGACATATTGTATAAAATTTATATAAAAAGTGTATTTAAGTTGTATGATATTGTAGTTGTATTTAACTGGGTAGAAATAATATATGAAAGTTGTAGATAAGTTGTAAATAAATTGTATAATATATAATTAGTTGTATGAAATTTATTTTTACTATGTATAAATCAGATAAAACCAACCTACCTACCTATTTTGTTTATGAATGATCCAACTGTAATACTAATGTATGAATGTATTATTACTTGCTAGCAGCTGCTATAGAAAACAAAACTCCGCAGGTAGAAGACTAGTCCTCAGCAGCATGTTCAGGAATCCATAGACCCTTTAATTTACTTATTTAATCACTCTGCTCTCTTTCTCTATTATGATATCATACTTAGTACGAAGGACCTCGCTTTTGGCTAATTCTTCTGGCTTTTTCCGAGCACTGCTGCTGTTTCCTATTTTTGGAGAAATATCCAATACTTGCTTCATTACTAGTGTCCTTTGAATTATGATGGTATCCCCAATTTTCAATTTGTGGCGAGCTGTATACTTCTTCCATCCCTTTTAAAGATATCTTCCCCTCTTATTTTCTACAAGTTCCATCACTCATACTTCTCCAAACTGATTATTTAGAGTTAGTAATGCAGGTAATGCAGTATAAGGTTTGAGTCTCACAAAGGATTCTTCCAATACACGTAAGCCATCCCCACCGTAAAGATTAGATTTTTTAAAAATCTTTTGATACATATCAACTCAGTCAGTTTTGATACATATCAACAACTTTATGTAAAAAGATAATATTGATAACTTAAATATAAATTTTATACAACGATTCATACATTATACAACTATTTTTCAACTTTCATACAACATTCAAAAAAATATATATATTTATAAATATAACAGAATACAATTTACATACAATTATACTACAACTTTACTACAATTTTGTAAGTATATTATATGTCATGTGTTCTTCTTCTTCAAGTTTCAATCTGAAATTCAGCCAAAATCAAGTCTAATCTTCACCAAACACCCTCAAAATTGAGATATAAACTCCAAACAATATTCCCAATTGTTTGCATCAACACCCGATCCAAACAAATAATGGTTTTTGAAAACCCAAATTCGAATTCAAAGCTTCAAAGCTTTTTAATGGTTGTCAATGGTGGAGAGTCAAACACCTTCAAAATTTATTGAGTCGACATCTATACCAGTCCTTGTTGTCCCACTATGACACAGTGCGAAAGGTTTCAATTTCCATAAAATGTATGACAATGCAACTTATCTAGAACCTCTTATATTGAAGTTGGGGCAGTCTGGGTAAGAATTCAAAAACGGTTAAAGTGACGTAATGGAGCCTTAAATACATTTGCTCGTTTTTTTGTTGGTACGCTTTAATTTTCTGAAATTCTATGAATTTCGGAACGTTAGTAATTAGCATATCCCCAGCTACGTGTAATGTGGAAATAGGATAGGGAAAGAGGAGAGAAAAAAGGAGAAAAAGTGCAACTTAATCCTTCAAATTAAGGCACTAATAATGGGTTGTATATAAATTGTAAGAAAAACTTGTTTAAGGCGGGTAATATACAAAACTGAGATAATTTTGATAAATAAGTTTCAAATATTATATAGGAACGAAAAAATCCGAAGGTAATAAAGGGTTAACTCGCTTTATCTCACAAAATATCTTCAAGAGTGTTTAGTGGTTGGTTTTTCGCTGTTCCTCGTTTAGTTACCTCTTCAGATTATTCTACAGCAAAATAACAAAAAAAAAAAGGTAAGTGACTGAGATACAAGGGAAAAACTTTTACTTAACATTACCTAAGAAACCCTCTAATTGGTCGTTTAATGGGTTCAGCACTTTTTCAAAATTTACTTTAGTCCACCAAAAATCAATAGAAGGGCAGTTTTATCCCTTTTCCGTTAAAATATTAAGAGATAATAGAGAAAATGCTGGACAAAGTTGAGAAATTGTCTTTTTAAATAGAATCCTCCGAGTTGTGTATAGTTTCAAAATGCTACAAATACTTGGGAGACCTGACTTAATGGCATTACTTAAATTTCAAATCCACAATTCCATAGATGCAAGCGGAACCATGTTAGCCTGGATATGCACTCAATTCTCAAACCTGCAAAGCAAAAGAAGGAACCCCACTGCCTTCACACAAAACAAAGAACAAAGCTTTAAACAGCATCCTAGCAACATCCACATACAACCTACTCCAACACTACTGCGGGTTAGATACTTGAGTAGTCAAACACATTTTTACAAGGAGAAAATAAACACATTCCGTTCAGCAACATCTGGATTTTGCAAGTACGAGCTGTGTGCGCTAGTGAGACATGAATGACATGTTTCGTCTGAAATCCAAGGATTTTAGTGCCGACTCTGAGAACTTGCCATCAGGTACCCACAAACCTCCATTTTGAGGCAGCAAAAACGGTGCTTGATTACCCTTTGGTAGTTCTTCTCCAGCTTCTGGCGTATCTTCTTTCTTTTTCTTTACGAATTCGAAGAAATCAGCAACTTGGCGAGCATACCTTCAAATAGGATGACAGTTAAATAAAACATAAAGACCATGTAGCTCAAATACCAGGCAAAAGAAATACACGATACTACAGAAACACAGCACAGGACATTCCTAAACACAAAAACTTACAGAAGTACTCCAAAAAAGATGTATTAAAGTCAGCTAATAGAAGAACTTACGAGCTTAAAAAAGTGATCCTACAATTTACTATTATTTAATGGTTCGGTGCAGTACTGCTTCAACAAATTTTTAGGTGTCTATAATACACTCTTGACACATCAAGGACTAAAGACATCAGAAAGCAACGATTATCTGTACGAATTTGTTAGATGTAGAATATCAGATTCCAGAATACTATGAAGGAGAACTCCTCAGAGGACAGAAATCCTATTTCTGGGGATAAGTTTTGGAGGATCGAAGATACTCTCTTTCATCCTCCTTTTAGTGATCGAATGTTAAAGGATGCAAGAACCTATTGAGAGTTAAAAAGGTAATAACACCCCCCCCCCCCCC